AATAAGTAGTCGTTAGCACACAACATTCACAAGCATATAACAATCACAAATATGCAACAAGGAAACAATATGCATCGTTCCTAGACCATTTATTAATGCATGCAATCCGGATCTATTTCCCCATTACAGGGCCTTCGCGGTTCCGTCGCCCATTCCCAAGAATCCCAAGGAAACGTAACCACAAAGGCACACGAGTCCCTAGTTCCATCATCAGAACTCCAGCAGCGTCGTGCCTGCACGGCCAAGGGCGCGACCCAAGTACCATCCGCGCCTACAGGTTAGCCTATAGCACCTCAACGTGCTGTTAACCCGTCTTCCAGGAACGTCGAACCGCCTCACATTTCATCACTTAGTTATGCGAGACTAACGACGTTATGCACATGCATGGTCATTCACAAGATTTCTCACAATCGCATAACCAAACTCAACAGATTACCCATGCAATGCTACTGTTACCACGAACATACTAGCATGCAATTAATAAGAAAACTCTCTGAGTATTTGACCCATCGACACTCGGAATAGCAACGCACAGGCTCAACAAATCATGCATGCAAGAAAAAAAGAAACCCCCGAGTGTTCGCCTCATAACCACTCGGTCGCCAACTCATAGGTTTTTCGAACGGAGAGTCGCTATAGCTTGATCCTTCCAAACGGTTGATCCTAAAGCTTGATGACTCGATCCCTGGAAGCTAAGGATCAAAATTTAACTTAACAACTAGGACACCCGGATCAAAGCTTAAACCCACGAAAAACTCTAGAACTTACCTTGACTTTACTCGAAAAAGCTTTTAATCCAACCCGCAATTCTAGAAAACCGTTAAGGGTAATGTCTCTAGAGATTTGGGTTGAGTAATGGTAAGCCGAAGGTGTTTATGATCGAAAACAAAGCCTAAGGGTCCTATTTATAGGCTAACCCGGTTAGAGACAAGATCGCCAAGTGTTCGCGGGTTTGGACAAGTGTTCGCGGAATCGGACAAATGTTGGCGAAATCCAGTCACTCGTTGACACATGCCTAACTTGTCTTGTCGGCCACTCAGACATGTTTTGACCACGCGTCGCCCAAGGGGGAACACGTGCCGATTTGGCCTGGATTGACAGAACTTCCACTTCCGCGTCTAGTCTGACCCATCATTGGCCCAGATGCGTACTGATTCTTCCTGTGACACGTAAAACTTGACCCGCACAGTTTTTCTCGTCCCAAATCCATTTTTACTCGATGGAATCTAACTTTCCCTGGATGGAAATTTGTCCTAGGACTTCCTTAGTCCAGACCACGTGAACTTCTTCCAAGGCCGCACATTTGGAAATTCATGGTCTTCTTTTGGCCGTTCCGTCAAAGTCACGACCTTCCCATGTCTTGCGGTAACTTCACCGCATCTCTTCCTTAGATATTTTCCAACATAAGATTTCCTTTCCAAGTCACCCTTGGCCGTTCTACCACTATTGGCCAAGTTTTCCCCGAGACTTTGTAGAAGCGGCAGCTCTGCCATCCTAGCCCTCGTGAGGGTTATTACATAAGGCCTCGGAAGCCAGCCTCTGGGCATTGACCCAGGGACCCACCGAGCCCCTATGGAGCTATAATGCATGT